GTGGCAGTCAAACTTCAACTCGAGACGGAAGTCCAACTTCAGCTCGCGGCGAAAAGATTGACTTCCATGTAAATTTTATTGACTATTACTAAAATGCCCTATGACCCTTATATACATCAAAACAGTAAAGATTTGTGCCAATTATTTGATTTTTCCGTTTTTCATGTCCGTAAATCAGTGTGTTCTAAACTTTATTACTCTAATGCAAAAAAGATGCAAACAGTTAGCATGTATCCCATTCAGAAACGCTGTCATCAGTCATAAATGAATTGAAATACTGCAAACATCCTACGCCTTAATAATAAAATTATTAATGCCAGTAGAGCCCGGCATTTAGGGACCATAGAAATAAAGTGACAACATGGAATTCTGAGAAATTAGTTCATAGAAAAAAAAATTTAGTTTCGGCAATTGAGGTTGAAATGAGGCAATTTCATATTCTGAGACGAGACGAGTGCAGGATGGCGCTGGCAATACATCATTGAGTTTTAATCAATTAGTTAATCTTGATGGGAGACGTGGCTTAGTCCAGGGATATCCTGCTGCCTCTGAGACAGACAAAAACGAAGCACCGCAGACATTGATTGAGTATCAATGAGAAAACGGGGTGAGGGCAAAAACGGGATAAAGGCTAAGAACGGTGAATAACGGGATGGGAGCAGACAACGGTATGAAGAATGGGATGAAGGCTAAGAACGGTATGATAAACGGGAATGCAAAGGAAGCCATAAAAAACTGGATGAACACGAGAAAAAATATAGAAATGTGATGAGTACAAAGAAAGGTATGAAAAATAGGATGAGAACGAATAAAAACATAAAAATGGGATGAGTGAGGGTAAATGTATGAAAAATAGAGCGCAAAGAACAGCATGAACAAAAGGGGATGGACTGGTAACACCGCGCTAGACTTAGCGAGACTGCGGCCATAACCCCCAAAAAATGTAGTCTTCCGAGAGAAGAAAAATGTTGTTAACATAGTAGTGATTTATTGCAGTCCTGAAGCGAGGCTTCTCTGTCGGGATCCGTTCAGCTGCTACCCTTTGAGAAGGAGCCTTCAGAAATGCTTCTCCATGCGTTTCAGAAAAGTCTACGATTACATTGATTTTAACATTATTTAAGAAGAATTACCAATTTCGACATCAATAATCAGTGTTAAAATTGCAGTAATTAGCAACAAAGCCATAATTATCTGACATCTTATCTTAACTGTTCTTATTGATCGCACCCAGCAATTGTGGGGAGAGCGCGGGCGGGCTAAGCATATAATATTTTAATGAAGAACGAAGCCGTATATTTGGTGCCATGATGAACAACCCATGAATCCACTTACAGTGTTGCCCTCTGTTTGCTCGGGAAGTTATGTGTGACCTGCAGCAAGTTATGTGCGATCTGTTAGTCTGGTGTAGCAGGTTGACCTGGTGTAGCATGTTGAGCTGGTGTAGCAGATTGACCTGGTGTAGCAGGTTGACCTGGTGTAGCAGCTTGACCTGGTGTAGCATGTTGACCTGGTGTAGCAGGTTGACCTGGTGTAGCAGGTTGACCTGGTGTAGCAGGTTGGCCTGGTGTAGCAGGTTGACCTGATGTAGCAGGTTGACCTGGTGTAGCATGTTGACCTGGTGTAGCAGGTTGACATGGAGTAGCAGGTTGACCTGGTGCAGCAGGTTCGGAGTCGGGTGCTGCAGACATATGCATCGGGTCCATTCGTTTTTTTCCATACGCATATAAAAAATACCCATTGTACTCTTGAGAGATATGAGATCTTTTTACAGATCTCTTTTCAAGATAAAATTGTATTTTATCATTGCAAATTCAAGAGGCGTTACAAACCACTAAAATTTTAATGTTTATTTTTCTACATTCTGTGAATGCTGAAAAATTACATGTTTCAAACTATAAAATGAGATTTAAATTGGTATTTCATTTTACGGTATTACCAAGTAAAAAATCATGTTCAGATTTTAATAATGCATTTTTGTTATTAGAACTTTCGTAATTTGTAACTTTTTAAGCTATATATTGTAAACAATAAAACGCCCCGGTAGAAGCTTGTAGTACAGTTACTGAACAGATAAAATTTATTGTTTCTTTAAATTTCCTACTGTTAATATTGTGTGGTTTTGTGTTCTATAACAACGAGTATTGTGCGAAACCAAAATTATACGTTGCCATCTGAATTTTTAATTTTGAACTCATATAAACGATGTAGCGCTCCGAAGTAGTAATGGCTGGTGAATCGAACTTTTCTGTTTCAATATCATTAGTGAATGCATTACCTGCACTTGATAATGTTTTAGGTGTGCAGTTCTAGGTAGTTTAAAACCTTTCAAAATATTTCCACTGAACAAACGCAATTTTCGTTGTGATTTTAAAGCTTTTCACCAACTGTTGAAACTTGTAAGTGCAATTGCAACCCAAAATATTATAGTCCGTTCAGAAAATTTGTCATTTCTGCCCGTACTTCTCATGAATATTTGAACTTTCCACTTTAATGGAACGCTTTCTCCATTAACCAAAGGTCCCTTTGGTTTTTTTCCAGGATCATAATTTTTGATAATTCAAGTGAGTTGTACTATATTGATCATGCTGCCTCGGAGCTCGTCAAGCTGCATTAAAACTTTCTCTTGGTTTAATGTTAACATACAGAATTACCCCTTTGACATACACAATTACCCTTATTCTGGAGAGCTTCGATTTTTATGGCTGAAAGGAATGTACTATATAATGAGGAACGTTTTAGCTCCCTTGACCAGACACGCAACAAGGCTGCTAGGTGACGGGGGTTGTTGAAGAACTGCAATTGTGAACTGAAATGAACTAAAGAATAACTTTGTACTACCTTAAAATTTATCAAATCCTTCCTGTCGGCAGAGTGTGGTTGGAAACAAATCAACCAATATAGTGTAAATTGTGAAAATTTAAAAGATGTCTGAAAATAGAGAATAAATAATTAATTTCATATTTCGTAAGTTTATGTTTTGCCTTAAATCATTAGGCTAATTTGAAAGGTATGTAAATAAAGTATTTCCTCGACATTAATGAAATATACCTGAATTATTTTAATGAAAGGATTTGGGGAAATAAAAATGCAAAAAAAATTATAAGTTTGAGTATGACCATCCAATTATGTACTTGTGGTACTCTTTTATAAGCGACAAAAGCTTTCAGTTAAGTACAGAAAAAATGACGATTCATTCTTGAATGAGAATAACACAGAAGTTAAAAAATTAACTTTATTTCAACGCAAAAATCACCAAAAAATGTAAAAGCCGAACAAAATAATTTTGCTATGCAGATCCAGAATTTGGTATCATATATATCGTGATTGAGAAAATTATTTGACTATCATAGATGACATTTGTGATTCCATGAATCTCATTCCCCGTATGCGTAGATTTTAGCCAAGAATACTTAAATTATTATATATGATCAAAACTGTTTTACATATACTCGAAAGTCAAGACATTATAGGTAAAGGCACTAAAATGCCTCTATCTTTACAACTCAATATATCGTTAAAGGTAAGTGATCAGAAAGCTCTAATGTATGCCACATCGAAAGTGGACAGTCTTGATCGACGGCTCGTATACTTACCGAATAATAGTTCAAGTTTTCTCAGAACCTTTCTTAATATCGCCTTCAATAATCTTCATAGATTATATCCTAATGTATGGCGCTATTTCGAGCATTACTTTGTATACCGAGCATAGCAGAACAATTCGGGGCTAATTTTCGAAAGACTCAAATATTTTCATTCGATGACAGGAAGGTGCACAAGAGCTGGGTGATCAAATTAAGGTCTGATCGCTAATTAACCATTCAAATTATTTTGAATTGAGTTTAAATGTAGTGCGTATAAACACATGCTCCTCTGTAGCCCATTTTAACGGCATTTTGAATGTGAAGAGACTATAGATATTTGGTGTCGCTTATTCAGCATGCAAGTTTTTTTTATCGCGAGCAGTCCGTTGTGTATCGGCGTGATAGTTCAAATAGATTTATGGTTTTATATCCTAAAAGAAAATAATCATATATTAATATAATTAGCATGTAATATTTTTATGTATTATGATACATTAAATACTGCGTGAGACTAAATTCACGCTTTTCAATGAACTAGTCGATACACGAAAATATACAGAACGAACTATATAAGACTAGCACAAATATCGCGGGAAATTCGCTGTCTGACTGCTCCCGTGTTGTGCTAATACGAAAACGGTGGAGGAATTCAAAGGTAATTCGCGCCCGTTTATGCGAATGAAGTTTATTTGTTTCTCGTGTAGTAGAGAATGCCTTGTGTTCTGAATCCTGATGAAATATCGATGACTCAAAGTGTAATTTGAATAATAAGATTCAAAATATATAATCGAATGTAGAAAATTCGTTGAGCGTACTATTTCAATAACGGATGAAAAAATTATTGGGAACATATACAAATATATTCAATTTAAAAGTAAACATTTCTTCAAATTATTGACTTGAGTAGACGCTATCCATGTCGATTCTTCTTGAGCTCTTAACAACGATAACACAACATCGTGAAACAAAACAAACCACCTCTAACATACTTCAAAACGTTAATATAAAATAAATGCATCCACATTTTATGTGCCATAAGCATAATAGCTGTATACTGACTGAGGATAGAGTGTTGTTATGCTTTTACTTGCGTACTGGTGTTGCAAGGTTATTTTCAGTAAAAAAAAATATTTAAATGGAATACGCTACCGGTTGCGATGTAAAAATTGTACATATGATGAATGTTTTTAAAACTACAGACAATTACATGAACTAAAAAAATTCTGAACATTCATATTCAATTAATTTCAATTGTTTTACCTGAAAAAAAATTTGACAATGTCATCTAAATCTGAATTTCTTTCTAGTTCTTTAAAATAGCTTCTATAATTCATACTATCTTCTAATTTCCGTTACTGAAAATTTTCGATGGTTTGTTTCTGAAACTGAGATGTCTTGATCTGCGGCTGACTTTGGTTCAAAATGAATGCTCTTGAAAAGATTCCTTCCCAAGCACTTGTGATCCTAGCGATATTTACGGCTCATGGACGAGCTACGGAGACATTAGAGTTGTTCCATAACAAGGCAATAATTGACGGATCTGTGGGATACAAGCAGACGGTGGAGCGACGCTGTGAGTATTCAGAAATGGAAACGTCCTGTACTCGTGATTAATTAATTGGTTGAATGGTTATGTATTGAAATAAGCCTTGTAACTGGCTAATTCATGCTAACTGAAATAATTTAGGTGATTCGACAATGAGCATATGATTGGATGATTTTATTAAATAACGATCAAAGAAATTCAAATTGAGAACCAAATTGAAGCGTCCAAATCTATATTCTGGCTGAAGCAATCGAGATTCTATGTACCTCATCATGGAAGATATATGAATTTCCTTTCAAATATTCTCAATCTTTATACTGATGACATTGATGTGTCGCACTCGAGGTGAGTGCCGTGAAGCGTGCTGGCAGGACGCTAACTGCACCGGAGTGTCCATCGCAGCGCACGCTTCACCACGCCTCCACGTATGCAGCTTCTCTCAACAGCCTTTGGACAACACCACAGCAACACTCACCTCTAACACCGCGGCAAACACCTTCATCAAAAGTAAGAGTAATATTGCAGCCATTTCATGATTTTCTATTATTTAAAATTGATTCACCGTCGTTGGTTAACTTTTTTCATCGGTGTTATTTAAATTATTTTTGGGTTACGTTCAAAGACACCCTTCGTTTACTTACGAAGGAACGCATGAAAAATTGTTTGATTTTTGTCTCTCTTATTTTTTCCATCTCTTCAATAGAACTTATTTTTTCAAGTAATACTCGTATTTCTACCTTCAAAAACTGAAAATCATGAAAAGTTTAAATGCAGGAAATAGCTTTTGCAAGATTATGAGTGGTAACAAGTAATAGCTGAATCTTCAATATCAAGAAGTATAATCATTGAACTAAAATGAACAGAAATTTTCAATCATCTATCTATTAAAAATCCAATTACAACAATTTTATAACATTCTCCATTTTTTATCCATTGCCCATTTTTAGTGCATTTTCTCATTTATGGAAAAAAGGCGCTATTGTGCTCGTCATGTCCGTCCGTCCATCCGTCATTGACTTCACGCGCGGACGGACGAGAAAATGCGCTCTCTGTCACTCACTGCAGTGAGTACAGATCTAATTTTTTTTATCTATTTGATTGACAGAAAAAAAGCCAGTGTGCCCCGCCAACTACACTGACGTGCCGAAGGTTGGATGTCTGTTCATCTCCACACAGAGCTTGACCTACGCCGCTGCCAAGACCGCTTGTCCCGCTGGCTCCGCTGGTCTCTTCGCCGCCCACACGGTAGATCAGTTCTCAGAACTTTCGCTCTACATGAACAAGAATAAGGGTAAGGAAACTATTCTTTATTCAAATTTATATATGACCATATTTACTCCCTACACGGGAGATAGATGCATGATGATCGAGCTCTATCCTATAGTAAATTGGTAGTGCTTTGCTGCCGCTCAATTTTTAGAGCAGCATACAACGGTACATCCTAGAGTAGCTGCAGCAAGCAAAATAGTGTAAAAATTAACTTTCCTTTACCATCTCACTTCGCACAAGACATCGAAACTAATTCAACAAGTCAAATACCAAATATGTTATTTTCGAACGATAATTTGCATTATTCACTCGATTATTCATCCTTGCCAACAGAAACCATGAAAACTGATTACTGGATTGGAATCGAGAGGGATCCTGGCACTGATATCTGGCGTTGGCGCCATGGAAGTTACATCGGCATCACCCAGCCTTCCTACTTCTGGGGTCTCGGCGATCCGAATGACGGCACAAACTGCGCTCGTCTTGCTTATTATCCCTTAAGGGAAATCTACTACATGTTAGCGGACGTCAAATGTACGACTTTGTACAATTTCATTTGCGAGCTCTAAAATATTGACAAATTAAGTGCTGCTGAAAATGTAACCATAAGAACTATTGATTTTTTTCCTCAGTCTGTTCTGAACAAAATTGCACCTACGTTCTATATTCATTGGACCAATGCATCAATTTCAAACCCAAAACAACCGATATTACAATTTTGAACATTCCAATCAAATTTTTTACCAAATTTCGATTCAACCATACGTAAACCTGAAATTTGAGTCTCATTTTCAAAGTCTAGAAACTTGTTTGACAGACAAAAAACCCACATGCTCTGCAAACACATGCATTTAAAAAGTACTTTTTAAAGACCACACTTCTAAAGAGGCCGGTGTCTCCGATGTTAGACATGTACAATGAATTTCTTATTTATTTTCAAATATTAAAAAAATCATTTTTAAATTATTTTTTCATTCTGTTCATTGATTCATGCATTGTCTCCGACTTTACGCACGTGTGCAGAGTTTCAGATCGATTGGACAGGTAGAGGTGTGTTAAATAATGATTATTATATTTGTAGCAGACAGCAAACAACAAGTTAAGCTAAAGAAAAATGGGGTAATAAAAAGCTCACATGCTCTGCAAACTACACTGAGCTGCTGAAAGTTGTATTGTATGTCTGCTCATCTTCACCTCACGCGTGATGTTCGCCACTGCCACAACCGCTTGCCCCTGTGGTTCTGCGGACCTATTCCCTGCCTGCACGGTGGAACAGTTCTCAGACATGACCAAAACTAATAGTGAGAACATTATTACTAAAAAAATTTATATTCAAAATACATAATATATTTATAAGATATATTTATATATAATATATTATGTAGACATCATCCCTGATTCCCTGCTTGGTTAAAAAATATACTGTGACTGTATTTTAGAAAAAAATCTAAAGAAGCTCACTATCAAGTTCAAAGAAGAGTGAACCACAGAATATATTCCTGAGATAAACTTCTTGAGTTAAATGTTTGTTAACTCTCTGTTGAATGGATGAAAGACGATGGCTTGATTACAAAAAAGCCTTTGGTTCCAATTGGGAACCATCCTTTGAATATAATCCCCCTACTCCACGTTCTGCAACCACCTTGACATTCAACACCCGATGACTGGATTATAATTGAAAGGGATCCCGGCACTGAGATCTGGCGATGACGACTCGCGAGTCACTCGTACACCGATGCCAGCAATTCATACGTTCAGTGTAATTTATATTCTTTCTATTACATATTAAACTCAATTTACATGTGCAGTTAACGCTTTTTCTCGTATATATTAAACTCAATCGACATAGAAACAATCAAACTAATTCTTCAATAGTCAATACAATATTATAACACACACATTTTATAGTAACATGGTACTTGGTAAGGCAGTTTTAATCCTTAGCACGCGTCGTAACTAATACTTGTGGCAGAAATCCACTCGCGTGCCTGAACTATTCGCATAAGATATATTATTATGATAGCAACTAATCGTTTTCATTGCAAAATTACTCTGACTGAAATTTACTTGATTATAGTTTCTAATGCCGTCAGGAATAAATTTTGGTAGCAGCTTGACCTGGTGTAGCACGTTGACCTGGTGTAGCAGGTTGACCTGGTGTAGCACGTTGACCTGGTGTAGCAGGTTGACCTGGTGTAGCAGTTTGACCTGGTGTAGCAGGTTGACCTGGTGTAGCACGTTGACCTGGTGTAGCAGGTTGACCTGGTGTAGCAGGTTGACCTGGAGTAGCAGGTTGACCNTAGCAGGTTGACCTGGTGTAGCAGGTTGACCTGGTGTAGCAGGTTCGGAGTCGGGTGCTGCAGACATATGCATCGGGTCCATTCGTTTTTTCCATACGCATATAAAAAATACCCATTGTACTCCTGAGAGATATGAGATCTTTTTTTCAGGTCTCTTTTCAAGATAAAATTGCATTTTATTATGGCAATTTCTCGAGGCGTTACAAACCACTAAAATTTTAATGTTTATCTTTCTATATATAGATTCTGTGAAAACTGAAACAATTACATTTTTCAAACTACTGAATGAGATTTAAGTTAGAATTACATTTTACGGTATTGTCAATTAAAAAATCATGTTCAGATATTAACATTGAAACTCTCGTAATTTTTAACTTTTTAAACTACCTATACATCGTAAACAATAAAGGGCCCCGGTAGAAGCTTGTGGTACAGTTACCGAACAGATAAAATTTATTGTTTCTTTAAATTTCCTACTGTTAATATTGTGTGATTTTGTGTTCTGTAACAACGAATATTGTGCGTAACCAAAATTATACGTTGCCATCTGAATTTTTAATTTTAAGTCAAATAAACGATGAAGAAGTAGTAATGGCTGGTGAATTGATCCTTTCTGCTTCGATATCATTAGTGAATGCATTAGTTGCACTTGAGAATGTTTTAGGTGAGCAGTTCTAGGTAGTTGAAAATCTTTTAAATATTTCCACTCAACCAGCGCAATTTTCGTTGTGATTTTAAAGCTTTTCACCAACTGTTTAAACCTGTAAGTGCAATTGCCGCCCAAAATATTATAGTAGATTCAGGAAATAGATTTTAGCTTATAATACTTCTTAAATCGATGTATATGATCAAATCTCTTTTACATGTGCTCGGAAGGTAAAAGCACTAAAATGCCTTTACCTTCACGACTCATGATATCGTTACAGGTAAGTGGTCAGAAAGCTCTAATGCAGTTAATTACAGATAAGTCGTCAGAAAGCTCTAATGTAAGCCACATCGAAAGTGGACAGTCTTGATCGACGGCTCGTATACTTACTGAATAATAGTTCAAGTTTTCTCAGAACCTTTCTTGATATCGCCTTGAATATCAAGAAGTCATACTGGATAGAGCTATTTCTAGCTTTACTTAGTATATTGAGCATAGCAGAACCTTTCGAAAGAATGGAATATTTCCATTCGATAGCAGGACGGTGTGCAAGAACCAGTGGGCTTGTCCATCAAACTGAGGTCTGATTGCTCGCTTGAACCATTCAAATTATTTTGAATTGAATTTATAAGTATTTCGGATAAACAAATGCCTTTCTGGCAACTCATTTTAACAGCGTTTTGAATGTGAAAAGCGTATAGATATTTAGTGTCCCTTATTCAGCAATCAAATTTTTAATTCACGAGCAGTCCGTTGTGTGTCAACGTCAAAGTACAATCAGTTTCAATAAAATAGTCGACGCTCAAAAATATACATAACGATACATACATAGCGAAAAGTTTGTGGGAAATTCGCAATCAGACTGCCCCTGTGTTGTGCTAATACGAAAACGGTTTTGGAATTCAGAAATAATTCGTGCCCGTTTGAACGAATGAAGTTATATTGATTCTTCGTATAGTAGAGAATGCCTTGTGTTCTGAATCCTGATGAAAGATCGATGACTCAAAGTGCAATTTGAATAATAATATTCAATACATACAGTCTAATATGGAAAATTCGTCGAATATACGACTTCAATAACGAAAAATTAAAATGATTGGGAACAAACACAAATATAATAACTTTATTAGTCAACATTTCTTCAAATGTATTCAAATTCGATATGCTATAGACATAATAGCTGAATACTGACAGTATGAGGATGAGGTGTTGTTATGCGTTTACTTTTATACTGGCGTTGCTAAGTACTATTAATTCAAAGTAAAATATTTAAATAGAATACGCTACCGATTGTGATGTGCAAATAGTACATATTATGAATACTTAAGACAATTACATGAACTAAAAACATTTTGAGCATTTATTTGCAATTAATTTTAATTATTGTATCAAAAGCAATTAATATGCAATTAATTTTAATTATTTTATCAATTTTTTATCTTATTTTATTTCATTTATTTTATTTATTTTATATATTTTTTAATTATTTTATCTGAATTTCTTTTTAGTTCTTTAAAATAGCTTTCTATACTGGTTCTTACTTTCCAATATCTTTTGCTGGAAATTATCTAAGCGTTGTTCCAGAAACTGAGATGTCTTGATCTGCTGCTGATTTTGATTCAAAATGAATGCTCTTGAAAAGATTCCTTCCCAAGCACTTGTGATCCTAGCGATATTTGCGGCTCTTGGACGAGCTACGGAGACATTAGAGTTGTTCCAAAACAAGGCAATAATTGACGGATCTGTGGGATACAAGCAGACGGTGGAGCGACGCTGTGAGTATTCAGATATGGAAACGTCCTGTACTCGTGTTTAATTAATTGGTTGGATATTTATGTATTGAAGTAAGTCCTGTAACTAGCAAGTTTATGCTAACTGAAATAATTTAGGTGATTCGACAATGAGCATATGATTGGATGATTTTATTAAATAACCCACTAATGATCAAAGTAATATGCAAAGTAATTCAAATTGAAAACCGAATCGAAGCGTGCTAATCTATATTCTAGCTGAAGCAATCTTGATTTTACTGGCCTCATCATGGAAGATATATGCATTTCCTTTCAAATATTCTCAATTTTTATACTGATGACATTGATGTGTCGCACTCGAGGTGAGTGCCGTGAAGCGTGCTGGCAGGACGCTAACTGCACCGGAGTGTCCATCGCAGCGCACGCTTCACCACGCCTCCACGTATGCAGCTTCTCTCAACAGCCTTTGGACAACACAACTGCAACACTCACCTCTAACACTGCGGCAAACACCTTCATCAAAAGTAAGAGTAATATTGCAGCGATTTTATAGTTTTCTATAGTTTTCAGTTTGATTCACGGTCTTAGGCGAACTTTTTTTTCAGTGTGGTTTGGATTGTTTATGTGTTAAGTTCAAAGACACCCGTCATTTTTCTTTTCAAAGACAATATTTTCAATATATTGATATGGACGTCATATTTTCTAAGACACCCGTCATTTTCATTTTTGACCTCTGTCTTATTCTTTCAATCTCTTCAATAGAACTTATTTTTGCAATTAATACTCAGATTTCTACCTTCGAAAACTGAGAAATCATGAAAAAGATTAAATGCATGAAATAGCTTTTGCAAGATTATGAGTGGTAACACGTAATAGCTGAATCTTAATTCACATTCGTTTCCCTATCTCAAATCACGCAAAATAGAAGTATAGTCATTGAAGAAAAATGAACAGAAATTTTCAATCATCTATCTATTAAAAATCCAATTACAACAATTTTATAACATTCTCCATTTTTTATCCAATGTCAATTTTTAGTGCATTTTCTCATTTATGGAAAAAAGGCGCTATTGTGCTCGTCATGTCCGTCCGTCCATCCGTCCGTAACTTCACGGACGGACGGACGGACGAGAAAATGCGCTCTCTGTCACTCACTGCAGTGAGTACAGATCTAATTTTTTAATCTATTTGCTTGACAGAAAAAAAGCCAGTGTGCCCCACCAACTACACTGACGTGCCGAAGGTTGGATGTCTGTTCATCTCCACACAGAGCTTGACCTACGCCGCTGCCAAGACCGCTTGTCCCGCTGGCTCTGCTGGTCTCTTCGCCGCCACCCAATCAAATTTTTTACCAGATTTCGATTCAACCATACGTAAACCTGAAATTTGAGTCTCATTTTCAAAGTCTAGAAACTTGTTTGACAGACAAAAAACCCACATGCTCTGCAAACACATGCATTTAAAAAGTACTTTCTAAAGACCACACTTCTAAAGAGGCCGGTGTCTCCGATGTTAGACATGTACAATGAATTTCTTATTTTATTTTCAAATATTAAAAAAATAATTTTAAAATTATTTTTTCATTTTGTTCATTGATTCATGCATTGTCTTCGACTTTACGCACGTGTGCAGAATTTCAGATCGATTGGACAGGTAGAAGTGTGTTAAATAATGATTATTAAATTTGTAGCAGACAGCAAACAACAAGTTAAGCTAAAGAAAAATGTGGTAATAAAAAGCTCACATGCTCTGCAAACTACACTGAGCTGCTGAAAGTTGTATTGTACGTCTGCTCATCTTCACCTCACGCGTGATGTTCGCCACTGCCACAACCGCTTGCCCCTGTGGTTCTGCGGCCCTATTCCCTGCCTGCACGGTGGAACAGTTCTCAGACATGACCATAACTAATAGTGAGAACATTATTACTAAAAAATTTATATTCAAAATACATAATACCTTTATAAGATATATTTATATATAATATATTATATAGACATCATCCCTGACTCCCTGCTTGGTTAAAAAATATACTGTGACTGTATTTTAGAAAAAAATCTAAAGAAGCTCACTATCAAGTTCAAAGATGAGTGAACCACAGAACATATTCCTGAGATAAACTTCTTGAGTTAAATGTTTGTTAACTCTCTGTTGAACGGATGAAAGACGATGGCTTGATTACAAAAAAGCCTTACACTTCGAACTAGCGTACAAAAAGAAGGCTTTCGGATTCTTTTTTGCATTTTTAGCAATATTTTTTTCGAAGTTTTTCACTGCAGTGCGACAAACTTTTTTAGCTTGATTTCGAGCTCTGGCATACAGGTTATAATCAGATTCGCTGCGAGTTCGTAAATAACGCTTATAGGCTTCTTTCTTGGTCTTTAGCTGAGTCTTAACTGCACTGTTCATCCACTGGGACTTTTTGAATCCTCCAAGCGTAATCTTGGGTACATAGGCATGAACTGCAGACATAACCGTGTCTTTAAGAAACGACCATGAATCAGCCACATTCATGTCCTTAATACAGTCCGAAATATTAAAATATTTCGGACTGTACAGTCAATACACTAAATTTCGGACAGTCGATACAATTTCGGACAGTCAATACAATATTATAACACACACATTTTATAGTAACATGGTGCTTTGTAAGGCAGTTTTAATCCTTAGCACGTGTCGTAACTAATACTTGTGGCAGAAATCCACTCGCGTGCCTGAACTATTCACATAAGATATATTATTCTGATAGCAACTAATCGTTTTTATTGCAAAATTACTCTGGCTGAAATACACTTAATTATAGTTTCTAATGTCGTCAGGAATAAATTTTGGTAGCAGCTTGACCTGGTGGAGCACGTTGACCTGGTGTAGCAGGTTGACCTGATGTAGCAGGTTGACCTGGTGTAGCAGGTTGACCTGGTGTAGCAGGTTAACCTGGTGTAGCAGGTTGACCTGGTGTAGCAGGTTGACCTGGTGTAGCAGGTTGACCTGGTGTAGCAGCTTGACCTGATGTAGCAGGTTCGGAGTCGGGTGCTGCAGACATATGCATCGGGTCCATTCGTTTTTTCCATACGCATATAAAAAATACCTATTGTACTCCTGAGAGATATGAGATCTTTTTTCAGGTCTCTTCTCATGAAAAAATTTATTTTATCATGGCAATTTCCCGAGGCGTTACAAACCACTAAAATTTTATTGTTTATCTCTCTATGTATAGATTCTGTGAATGCTGAAACACTTACATTTTTCAAATTACTGAATGATATTTAAATTAGAATTACATTTTACGGTATTATCAATTAAAAATCATGTTCAGATATTAACATTGAAACTCTCGTAATTTTTAACTTTTTAAACTACCTATACATCGTAAACAATAAAGGGCCCCGGTAGAAGCTTGTAGTACAGCTACCGAACAGATAAAATGTAATGTTTATTTAAATTTTCTACTGTTAATATTGTGTGATTTTGTGTTCTGTAACAACGAATATTGTGTGTAACCAAAATTATACGTTGCCATCTGAATTTTTAATTTTAAGTCAAATAAACGATGAAGAAGTAGTAATGGCTGGTGAATTGATCCTTTCTGCTTCGATATCATTAGTGAATGCATTAGTTGCACTTGAGAATGTTTTAGGTGAGCAGTTCTAGGTAGTTGAAAATCTTTTAAATATTTCCACTCAACCAGCGCAATTTTCGTTGTGATTTTAAAAGCTTTTCACCAACTGTTAAAACCTGTAAGTGCAATTGCCGCCCAAAATATTATAGTAGATTCAGGAAATAGATTTTAGCTTATAATACTTCTTAAATCGATGTATATGATCAAATCTCTTTTACATGCGCTCGGAAGGTAAAAGCACTAAAATGCCTTCACCTTCACGACTCATGATATCGTTACAGGTAAGTGGTCAGAAAGCTCTAATGCAGTTAATTACAGATAAGTGGTCAGAAAGCTCTAATGTATGCCACATCGAAAGTGGACAGTCTTGATCGACGGCTCGTATACTTACTGAATAATAGTTCAAGTTTTCTCAGAACCTTTATTGATATCGCCTTGGATATCAAGAAGTCATACTGGATAGAGCTATTTCTAGCTTTACTTAGTATATTGAGCATAGCAAAACCTTTCGAAAGAATGGAATATTTCCATTCGATAGCAGGACGGTGTGCAAGAACCAGTGGGCTTGTCCATCAAACTGAGGTCTGATTGCTCGCTTGAACCATTCAAATTATTTTGAATTGAATTTATAAGTATTTCGGATAAACAAATGCCTTTCTGGCAACTCATTTTAACAGCGTTTTGAGTGTGAAAAGCGTATAGATATTTAATGTCCCTTATTCAGCAATCAAGTTTTTAATTCACGAGCAGTCCGTTGTGTGTCAACGTCAAATTACAAATAGGTTTTGAACCGGTTTTATTTCCTAAACAAAACTTGGCATATAATGTACCTTTATTTTATATATTATGATACGATAAATTCACCTTGATACTAAATAATTTTCAATAAAATAGTCAACGCTCAAAAATATACATAACGATACATACATAGCGAAAAGTTTGCGGGAAATTCGCAATCAGACTGCCCCTGTGTTGTGCTAATACGAAATTCAGAAATAATTCGTGCCCGTTTGAACGAATGAAGTTATATTGGTTTTTCGTGTAGTAGAGAATGCCTTGTGTTCTCAATCCTGATGAAAGATCGATGGCTCAAATTGCAATTTGAATAATAAGATTCAATACATACAATCTAATATGGAAAATTCGTCGAATGTACGACTTAAATAACGAAAAAATAAAATCATTGGAAACAAATACAAATATAATAAGTTTAAAAGTCAACATTTCTGCAAATGTATTCAAATTTGATATACCATAGACATAATAGCTGAATACTGACAGAGTATGAGGATGAGGTGTTGTTATGCGTTTACTTTTATACTGGCGTTGCGAAGTACTATTAATTCAAAGTAAAATATTTAAATAGAATACGCTACCGATTGTATTGTGCAAATTGTACATATTATGAATACTAAAGACAATTACATGAACTAAAAACATTTTGAGCATTCATATGCAATTAATTTTGATTATTTTATCAAAAGCAATTAATATGCAAATAATTTTAATTATTTTATCAATTTTTTATTTTATTTTATTTTATTGATTTTATATATTTTTAAATTATTTTATATGAATTTCTTTTTAGTTCTTTAAAATAGCTTCCTATAGTGGTTCCAATATCTGTTACTGAAAATTATCGAAGCGTTGTTCCAGAAACTGAGTTGTCTTGATCTGCGGCATATTCATTGTGGTTCAAAATGAATGCTCTCGAAAAGATTCCTTCCCAAGCACTTGTGATCCTAGCGATATTTGTGGCTCATGGACGAGCTACGGAGACCTTAGAGTTGTTCCAAAACAAGGCAATAACTGACGGATCTGTGGGATACAAGCAGACGGTGGAGCGACGCTGTGAGTATTCAGAAATGGAAACGTCCTGTACTCGTGTTTAATTGATTGGTTGAAAGTTTATGAATTGAAATAAGACTTTTAACCATAAAGTTTATGCTAACTAAAATAATTTAAGGTGAATCAACAATATGTGCATACAAGCTTGGGATGGTTTTATTAAATAACCCAACTAATAATCAAAGTAATTCAAATTGAGACCCGAATCGAAGCGTCCAAACCTATATTCTAGCTGAAGCAATCTTGATTTTATTTGCCTCATCATGGATGATGTGTGCATTTCCTTTCAAATATTCTCAATTTTTATACTGATGACATTGATGTGTCGCACTCGAGGTGAGTGCCGTGAAGCGTGCTGGCAGGACGCTAACTGCACCGGAGTGTCCATTGCAGCGCACGCTTCTCCGCGCCTCCACGTATGCAGCTTCTCTGGACAGCCTTTGGACAACACCACTGCAGCACTCACCTCTAACACTGCGGCCAACACCTTCATCAAAAGTACGAGTAATATTGCAGCGATTTTATAGTTTTCTATAGTTTTCAGTTTGATTCACGGTCTTAGGCGAACTTTTTTTCAGTGTGGTTTGGACTTTTTTTGGGTTGAGTTCAAAGACACCCGTCGCTTACTTACGAAGAAACGTATGAAAAATTGTTAAATTTTTGTTCTCTCTTATTCTTTCCAACCCTTCAATAGAACTTATTACTGTAAGTAATACTCGTATTTTCATCTTCAAAAACTGACAAGCGATGAAAAAGTTTGAATACGTTCTGCACGAGATAGCTTTTGCAAGATTATGAGTGGTAACACATAATAACTGAATCTAAATTCACATTAGTTTCTCTATATTACATCACGCAAAATATCAAAAAGTATAGTCGTTGAACCCAAATTCACATAAATTTTCAATCATTTATGTGTTAAAAAATTCAATTGGAACAATTATATAACAATCTGCCATGACTCTAAAAATTTTATTCATTTTCCATATTTTGATATTTTTGCTTGACAGAAAAAAAGCCAGTGTGCCCCGCCAACTACACCGACGTGCCGAAGGTTGGATGTCTGTTCATCTCCACACAGAGCTTGACCTACGCCGCTGCCAAGACCGCTTGTCCCGCTGGCTCTGCTGGTCTCTTCGCCGCCCACACGGTAGATCAGTTCTCAGAACTATCACTCTACATGAACAAGAATAAGGGTGAGGAAACTATTCTTTATTCAAATTTAGATTTGATCATATTAACTCCCTACACGGGGGATAGTTACATGAAGATCGAATACTATCCTAGTGAAAATTGGTAGTGCATGATTTGCTGCCGCTCAATTCCTATAGCCGCAAATACCGGTAAATCCTATAGTAACCGCTTCCAGTAATATCGTGTAAAACGAACATCCGTTTACCATCTCACTTCGCACATGACAACCTAAATACTCTGACAAGTCAAACAATAAATATATTATTTTTGAACAAGAATTCGCATTATTCACTTATTCATCCTCACCAACAGCAACCATGACAACTGATTATTGGATTGGAATCGAGCGGGATCCTGTCACTGAGATCTGGCGTTGGCGCCATGGAAGTTCCATCGACACCACCCAGCCTTCCTACTTCTGGGGTCTCCTAGAACCGAATGACGGCACAAACTGCGCTCGTCTTGCTTATAATCCCCCAATGGAAACCTACTACAAGTTAGGGGACAGAAGTTGTACGATGTTGTACAATTTCATTTGCGAGCTCTAAAATATTGGAACACTGCTGAAAATATAGTACTCCATGTAAGCCTCGACTTTCCCATGCAGGCTCTTTTTCTATATTTTACCATCTGAACTATTGTTTTTCAGTGTGTTCAGAGCACTATTGCACCTACATTCTATATTTATGGCACCAATACATCAATTATTTTAAACTCGAAACAACCGAAACTTCAAATTTGAACATCCCTTTCAAACGTTTCGCAACGAATCGCTTCTAAAACATTCGTAAACCTGAAATTTTAGCCTCATTTTGGATATTCGCTTGACAGACAAGAAGCCCACATGTTCTGCAAACTACACCGAACAGCCGAAAGTTGTATTGTATGTCAGTTCATCTCCACCACCCGTACGTGTGGCGTGCGCCACTGCCATGCAAGACCGCTTGCCCCTGTGGTTCTGCGGATCTATTGCCTGCCTGCAAGGTGGAACAGTTCTCAGATTAGTCTCTTTACATGACCAAAAATAATATTGAGAACATTATTCCGTGAAAACGTTTATATATTCATAATATATAATATATTGATAAAAAATATACAATATGTATTATGTAGGCAGCATCTCTGACTACCTGATTGGTTAAAAAATGTACTGTGACTGTGTCTTAGCAAAAAATAAAGTCTAATAAAGTTCGCCATCAATCTCAATGATGAGTGAACAACAGACAGAATGTATTCCATAGGTAATATTCTTGTGTTAACTGTTCTTTTGAACGAATGAAAGACGATGCCTGGATTACAAAAAAGCCTTTGGTTCGAATTGGGAAGAGTTTTCCCCCTTTTCCACGTTCTGCAGCCACCTTGACATTCAACACCCGATGACTGGATTATAATTTAAAGGGATCCCGGCACTGAGATCTGGCGAGGGCGACTCGCGAGTCACTCGTTCATCAACGCCAGCAATTCACACGTTCAGTGTAATTTATGTTCTTTCTATATTACATATTTAGCTCAATTTCCATGTGTAGTTTACGTTTTTTTTCTCGTATATATTAAACTATATTGACATGAAAACCCTAAAACTGTTTCATTAATAATCAAACCAATATTATAACACACACGTCTTATAGTATAACATGGTACTTAGTGGGAAAGTTTTCATCCTTAGCACGCGTCGTAACTAATACTTGTGGTAGAAATGCACTCGTGTGCCGCACTATTCACATAAGATATATTATTCTGATCGCAACTAATCGTTTTCATTGCATAATTACTCACACTGAAATTTCCTTGATGATACTTACAAATACCATCAGGAATAAATTTTTGCATTTAGAGGAGTGCGATTAATTGAATTATCAGTGAGGTAGATTTTAATTTTTAGGTTCAAAAACGTTCATGCTCAACTTTATAAATTTCCGTATTGTTCTAAAACTGTTGTCTGGACTGTTTTTAATTTGTGTTGAAATATAATCTATTCCTAACTGTACATTTTACTGCATACCTCCAAGGAATTCGACTTATTCGATTCGCAGTATGCTTAGGCTCAGAAATTTCATCAATATATGAATCGATCATATGGTTGATTCAATTTTAATGGCTTCTAAATTGCATTACAACACAATATGACAATATTATTCTTTGACGGAAGTTGTCAATAAAACATTTTGCAGCGTAGGAAAAATTGAAACGATCACCAGAAACGCTGTCACGGATGAAGAGTTCCGAATTGGTTTTAATTGCAACCAAAAACCTGTTTGATGTAGAAACCTGTTTGATTGAAACTTCACGACTCTAATCACTCCTCTTATTATTCACAGTCATTATGGCGGCCGTGAAGGATAATCTAAATTTGTATCATTTTTGATGATCGACGGAAACGTTATATATGATCATTTGCAAATGTAGCTGTAGGCGCACTTCCAGCGTCGTTATTCATGTAGGCGTTTTCCTAGGCACTTTCTGGTGCTGATTTCAACCAGTCATTTCTCATTACTGTTATTATTTAGTTATTTCTCATTAATACTGTTAAATATGTACTCATTTTCATTAATGTTTTATCCCTTCGGTTGTACGAAAATTCTTTTTTATTCTGGAGAAAAATTCTGTTCTTCTGGATCATTCGGTACGCGTCACTTTCTAATCTCTCAGTCGCGAAGCAACTTGCACTTCGCCGGTGGTGTAATTTTGGTGATAGACTGATAGCGTTTTGTAAATCACTGTAGTGAGATTTATAATTTTTTGTGATTTTTAAGAATTGGTCGGGATTCTTTTGATATTAATAACTCAGATAAACTAATTCATTGCGACATCATAAGTTTGTTTTTCTTTGTTTTCAGTAACTCAGTTATCTATCAAGATCAGTTAGCTTCAGTGCGTGTCATTCACTGGGTTCTTTATTTACTCTTGCTTCTGTTTTACTCTGCACCATCAGTATATACCAGTGCCTTTGTTATCAATAAAATATCAAAAATACCAAGTTCACTTCCCTGCACGGTTAAAGTTCGGTTGGTCTGGCTGGTGCCGAATTAAACAAGAGCGTTCGTACGTCACCTTCGCGCTTACATTACTTATGATAAACACTTGTACATTTAATTGTAATTCATTCGTTTGAGCTCAAAACCGAGAGCTGGAAAACTCCTGGCTCAATACAGCAGTGATAAAGACGTCCTCATATCATTTTATATGAAAGTTAAATTCCTTTTATCATCAGGATTCATTTTCAAAACTATCTTGTTTCAGAACAAAATGCAATCACAATTTTGTGTATACTTAATTGGCTTTCATCACACAATGAAAATAACATGCGAATTTTGCAACATTTATCCATTTACATTTTTATGAGGAATACCCGTGTTCAAATCGGACGATCAGACCGGCATTTAAATATTTTTTCTTCCGTCTCAGTCGCAAGATGCTAATACAAACCGTGATCATCAAGTTCATTTTTCAGCAACTATAAACTATTACACGCTCGCAAATTAATATTGCGTATGTGTTACTGAACAAACTCTCATCTTAAGAACAAACAGGAAACGCGCAAACAGCCGCCAGTTCAGACTTTCGACAAACAACCTTTTCTTTACGCCGTACACAGGATAACGGAATGAATTTTCAGGATGCTTGCGAGCACAATTTCCGCTAATTTCTGACAACATATATTTTTATTCATACATATTTTATCTTTCTGTTCAAACGACGACTTTGCAAGTTTGCAGCGGCAGGCATTCGTTGCATTTGTCGGGGCTGACATGTCGCATGCTAGCCCCATAGACTGTGCATTGTTGATGCTTGCTGTATTTTAGATTTTACTTTTATTGGAAACAGTAGAATTAAAAAAAAATCTTTGGAATATTCAAACTCATGACTGATGGAGGCTCGTTGTGTAGAACAGTTGTATATCGGGACACTTGACGTTTCAATTTCGTTTCCTATGTACCCGAGTGAAGTTCAGACACACTTAAATGAACTTTAATGTACACCATAATTAACTTATTGACACTTCCTTGAAAGTGAAGAACTATTTTGGTGATGATCTGAACAGAACGTATAATTTTCTTCATTTGAAAGACACCAGAACTTTTAATTATTTTAATCAAAGCAAAATTCAAATTTTCAAGCGCAGGAGCAAGATTTTGTTTCTTAGTCCTTCGATTACCTTATAATTCCTGCTACTGTTTATCCAAATTTATAGGGCAACATGGGGCAGCGAGCCCACTGCGGGTCATGGGCCCATAGCGGGTTTCTCGCTAAGTATGGCAGATATTGGTCCGTGTTTTCCCCTGCCGGTCGACAGTTTCACTGGGATGAAGTGTAATTTAATTTAAATCAAATTAATTTACGTTTTGCTAAGTGTCTGCGTTATTAAGTTATTTGTGAATAACTGTTTTAGCCCAGATAAAAATTTTTTTGCTGCTAAATAAAATTATTTTCGATTACTGTAGATGAAGCTTTTGAAATTACTGTGAATTATATTTGAAAGTAATATTAATAGAGATAATTTTGAGATAAAGTTTAGACTATTAGCTTTTAAAATAAAATATTGACACGATATAAATTGAAATGATACCTAGTGGGGGCAACGGGCCCACGCGTGTCACGGGCAAAGCGCCCATGGGGAAGTCTTGTGTTAAACATCATTAGATTTGTCTCAATGACCTTTTCAAGACTATGACTTGCTTTTTGAATTACAAATCACACTTCATATTGCATGATTTTTTTATTTGCCGCCTCAAGGCAGCAAGTTTAGTTTCTATTTATGCGTGTTAATGACCCCTTATCGCGTTATTGACTCTTGCATTGCCAAAAGTTAATTTCAGTCAACACAAATGAGCCAAAAGTTAATGAGTTTTTATGGTGTTGGCTGAAATCACGATTCGGTACGAATTCTCTGCACATAATATCTGGATTATGGACGAAACTGGAACGAAGTTTTTCTCTGATCAACTAAATATATTTTTTCTAGTCAAGGATATATTTTTTCATGTCAAGGACAAATTTTTTATCGCAAGGATATATTTTTCAAGGCAAGGACGTACATTTTTATGTCAATGAAATATTTTTCTTCACGTCAGTGATAGATTTTTTAAGCCACGAGTATATTTTTCAAGCTAAGGATATTATTTTTTGAGTTGTTAATAAATGAATGAATGCCATATTTTTTATTACATTTTTCTTATTTTTAACTCTAAAGTGTTTTTTTATCATTTGTAGACGAAAAAATATGCAATTGTGGCAAAGGGACCAAGGGTGGGCGCCTTGCCCCAAGCCCATGGGCCCATTGCCCCAGGGGTGGGGCAATGGGCCCATTTTGACACTTTTTACAAAATGGTGTTTCATTAAAAATTAAATAACTCTATAGGCGTCTAATTCACATCACACATTCCTCATTAGTTGTACCTTTAAACAAAACAAAGAACCACCTCGTATCAATTAAAACTTCATCAAAATTTTTGTTTAAAAAAAGTGGGGGGCGCGCTGCCCCACGTTGCCCTACTACTCATCCGAGAAAATTCTATTGCAAGAATTCTTGTTTAACAATCTAGCCACCTATTTTTCAGCACGATTACTCCAAAAATTTAAAAATGCCAACGAGAAACGAAAAAGATTTCCGTCTCATGA